ATCTAGTGCTTGCTATGTACCAACCACTTCTAAGTAGTTTTTCCAAATATTGAAACTTTGTAATAATTCTCTATGGTAGGTGTTATTATCTCCATTCTACAGACAGACTGAGGCAGAGAGTTTAAGCAAGTGGCCGGACGTCACAGCCAGTACATGGCAAAACACCTGCAGTCTGCTCTTAGAATTCGCACTCCTTGTCCAGCTCCTGTCCAAATATTTATTATTACTTATAAGAAAACTCTGCAAATTGCAGAGGGCTCTACCACCAAAGATTAGCACCCTAGGGCAAAATGAGCCCTTTACCACTCCCTCGATGCTCCCCAGCGCTAAGTTCCCAGCGGAGGTTGCAGTGAACCCAGATGGCGCCACTGCACTCCAGCCTGGGTGACAGGGCGAGACTCTTGTCTCAAAAAAAAAAAAAAAAAAAAAGCGAGTGAGTGGAGCGTAATTACCCTCGCCAATAGCCTGTAACCACCGCGGCCGCCACTCCCCTTTTCCTGGCCTCGCCCCTCTCCACCCACGACTCTGGCCCCGCCCCTCGTCCCAGGCTGCGACGGAAGAAGAGCCAACGCCTCGCGGGCTTCCACGTACGCACTCTAACGCCTGTCCCCGGAGGAGAACACATCCGGGTCACGGGAGCCGGTGTCTCAGGCTCCGCCCCTTCCCCCCCAAGGGCTAATCCCCACTTCCGACCCTCATAGTCCTTTTCCGCTTCTCTTTCACCTCCCCTGGTGCGCCCCTCTGCGCCCCTCATAGGAACCCGGAGGGTAGCTCTGATCCCGAATCTCCCACAGGCGCGAACCTGCTCTGCCGTGTATCTTTGCGGGGCGGCCTGCGCTGAGGCCTGCCGCGCGCGGTGAGTCCGCGCAGAACTGACCCTGCGTCTTGCAGCTCGGTTGAGGCCGCCGACTTCTCGGGATGCCGCGGCCGGGGTCCGCGCAGCGCTGGGCGGCCGCCGCGGGCCGTTGGGGCTGCGGGCTGCTCGCACTGCTGCTGCTGGTGCCTGGACCCGGAGGCGCCTCTGAGATCACCTTCGAGCTTCCTGACAACGCCAAGCAGTGCTTCTACGAGGACATCGCTCAGGGCACCAAGTGCACCCTGGAGTTCCAGGTATCAGGGGCCTAGCAGTCCCTGGGCCCCAACTCGCGGCTCCAGGGCTGGGGGTGTAAGTTGAGGGATGGCACTTTCCTGTCCGTGTTAACCCGTTCTTAGGCTAATTCAAAAATCGCTTCCAGGTAGCTGATGCCCAGCATTTGACTTTCCTCTAATAAACCTGGAGTGAGAGATGTTAAGACCGGATGTTAAAATGTATGAATTCCAGAAATGCTCCCTCTAGCATTTCTTTCCATTCTCATATTTAAGGCCTATTGAACTTCCTTCCTTAAAATATTCCCTTAAAGAAAATCATTTATATTCTATAGTACCCAGTGTCAACTCTCTAATCCACACTTCCAATTTAATTGAATTTGAAGTATTTTATTATACTACCTTCCAGAGACTGAGTTTGACCTCAGAGAGCTTGTATAGACATATATAGTCATAAAATGTTAAATGCAACAATAAAGGTACACACTAGGTATAGTGCTGGCAGAAGACAGAAGGATCATTGGGAAATTTAGCTGAGGAGCTGATATTAGAGCTGAGTCTGCAAGGTAAGTAGCCGTTGTTCGACAAGGCAGCAGAGGAGAGAAGAAGGGGCCCTAGGCAGATATGTTCATGACAGTTCCAGCAGACCTGAAATTAGCCTGAGCTATATTGCTAACATTTGTGCATGACAGTGAAATACACTGAATAATAATAGTTTTGTGACTGTAGTTACATATATTGTCCCAAAACTATATATTATTAGCTTTAATGTAAAGCTATTATAATAGCTTTGTGACTGTGAGTCCAAGGGCTTTGGGGGCAGTTTGTACCAGTTTGTCAACATTATTTATTGGTAACAGTGAGATTGATGATTTGCTCCTGGTCTTGGTGAGACCACACCCCCAACACAGAGCTCTGTTGTTGAGACTAGCTTCATAGCAGGAATATGCCTATGTGACCAGCGAAATATTTTAAAATGTGGTCAAGACTCCATTTTGTGTTCCTTGGTTCCAGGGTGTTTTGTTTGCACACTTGGGTGGTTCCAGATCTGAGCGAGTATGTGTCTGGCCACAGACCTAACAGAGGGAAGACAAAGGAGCCCACACCTGACCTTTTCAGACCTCTTGCTGTGAGACAGCCTTTGGCTGTGATGTTTTATATTCTTTTCCTTTTGGGACTCTTTTCAGTCCCAAGTTAAATTCTTAACCACTTTATTATACTACCTCCCAGAGACTGACTCTGACCTCAGAGAGCTTACATAGACATATATAGTCATATAATATAAACTGTAGATTTATGACATTATAACATACAGTAATAAACTGTAGATTTGCAAACACTGTCATTTTGAGCCCTGTGATTCTTCTTTAGCAAACCCTGTTGAACTGCACCGTCAGTGCAGATGTAAAGCAAAGACTTGTTCAGAGAATTTCTGGTAGTGTGGCATTTTGGGAACATAGAATGAGTAAGGCTGTGAATAAAAGAGGTTCTGAAGCTACCTGGGAGGAAGAACAGTGAATAGTATACCATTGTTAACAGGTTTCGATTTTTCTGCAGGCCACAGGTAATTATCAAAAAGTTTTTAAGTGATTGCTCAGTGGGGAATGAGGAAGGATGAGGAGATTGGCACCCCTCCTTCCCAGGAGACATTTGGCATCATGTTAGAAGGGCAGCTACCTGCATCTAGTAGGTAGAGACCAGGTATGCTGCTTAACGTGCTGTAGTGCACAGGACAGTACAGGGTCCTACAACACAGAATTATTCAGCTCAAAATGGGAATAATGCCAAGGTTGAGAAACCCTGAGTTAGAGGGAGAAGATATTGGGTAGTGGGAAGACCTTTTAGGAAGTTGTGGCAATAGTCCTGTCTGGATTGTGGTTTAGGAATGCGATGAATTTGAGAGGGGCAAAAAGATTGAGAGATTTGTGTGATCGTATGGATAGATAGGGACACTTGGTTTGGGATGATCCTCAGTTTCAATAGTAGGTGATTGGACAGGTTTAAAGGGATACTTAACAAGATTACTTGTTTTAAGTTTGATGGAAGAGAAGTGGGGTGATGATAAGTTCTGGTCCTATTCAGTTTGTATGTATGTGTTTGATTATTCAAAATACAATGGTCAGGTATGAATAATTCAGTATAGCAAAATGAAGTTATTATTTTCACTTGGAGAAAAAGTTACTTTTTGGTGAGGATGGGGATTGGTAAATCTCCAATTGATAAGACATTTTTATATCAAAACATTTTATCTGTATATTAACATTTACATATTTTTACAGTTTCCTAAGTGCATAATTATTTTCATTTGATTATCAAAATGATCTGTAACATAGTTCAGTTAGTATCTTCTCTCTTAAGTGAGAAAAGGTCACACGTCACAGATCCTTCTTTTATATCCACAGTTTGAACTCTGTTCTACTGACCTAGAATGTCAGTATGCTAACCAAGAGGGTTCAAGGTTGAAAATAACAGTCTTGTGCTACCCAATCACATGGTGGTTTGGGAACCCTTCATTCAACCCAATGTCTCTTCCTAATCATCTCTTTCACAAGTGTATACGTTTCCTCTGTTTCTTCACCTCTCTCCACTCCCTCTTTCTTCCTACTCAGTTCTTTCTCATGTAAGGAGCCTTTCTCTTTAATCCTTTCCCCCTTTTGTCTGTTAAAATACTTATCCAGTTACCACTGGAAAAATCTCTCCCTCCTCTGTTCGTACAACCCAAATGGCTGGAAGTGTAACTGATTAAGCATAAGCCCTTGAAAGTAGTTCTGCAGTTCTGTTCAGAACTACCTCCAGCCTTCCATTCAGTATGTTTGCCCTTAAGTACTGGCTTTCTAAATAAACAGACTTGTTGTCCTTTATGTTACTCATTTTTGCTTTAATGACAAGTGTTTCAGCAATATTTTGTTTAATCAGTTATGTGTCTCCTGAAAACAAGGTTGTAAATGATTATATACTTTTAGAATAGCCCACTCCATTACTCAACTTGTGTAGTTCAAAACAAAATATATATCAAATTCCATATAACTGACTATAAAAGAACTTAATAAACACAATCCACTTGTAATTTGACAGTAAAATGAACTTAAGTTCTATGATAGAAGTATGAATGGGGTGTAATCCTAAGGACTGGCCTACCTTATTACTTCACTGTGTGTGTGCTTGGATGATGCTAATAGGAAAGTGGGTGAGAAAATTTTCAGAAGGAAAATATTGCAGACAGTAAGCTTAGAGGTTAAGAATATGACTTTGGAGTTCAAGTTCTGCCTTTCCCACTTAACTGGATGAATACTCTTAAATGGGTCGCATATTTAACATCAGTTTTTCAGTCTGTCAAATGGAAGGAAAAAAGTCTCTTGTAGGGTTGCTGGGAGAATTAAGTGATCTAATAGATCTACATTAATTAGCACAGTTGTCTGGCTAGTTCAAAGTGAATAAAAGTTGGAGGAAACTTGTTCAGTTTCTGTAAAGTTTAGTTGAAGTAAAATCTCCTCCCAACTTCCATCCACTGGTGAAAATTTAAAAATGTAAAATTGTCTGTGATAGTAAAAGTCCTTTGCCCATTACCTTATTGCCATTTTATTAGGAAATCTGATTAAATCTGATTAATTTTTCAAACTTTTCACAGTAATATTTTTTTTTAATGTCTTACAGGTGATTACTGGTGGTCACTATGATGTAGATTGTCGATTAGAAGATCCTGATGGTAAAGTGTTGTACAAAGAGATGAAGAAACAGTATGATAGTTTCACCTTCACAGCCTCCAAAAATGGGACATACAAATTTTGCTTCAGCAATGAATTTTCTACTTTCACACATAAAACTGTATATTTTGATTTTCAAGTTGGAGAAGACCCACCTTTGTTTCCTAGTGAGAACCGAGTCAGTGCTCTTACCCAGGTAAATAAAAAAAATCAGCAATATAATGTTGGTATATTTAAAAGGAGGAAAAAAGCATAATTTAATACCATGCACTAACTGATGAGCATGGAGTTTCGAGACTAACAATCTTTAAAATCTATCTTAATTCTTACATAGTAGGCATTTCACAGAGAACTTCAAACTTTTATAGTGAAAAATAATGTTGAAAGATTTTATGAACTTTTAAGTGTAAAGAGAAAGAAGCATCAAAATGGAAGATCACTAAGGTAGAAACATCAGTGGTAAAAGAAGTTTGGGAAGGCTGAGCAGTGTTCCAATCTTCTGAAGCATTTTCTTTAATCCCTAAAGGAATGTTGCTGTCATACTCAGGCTGGTATAACTGGAAGCAAAATGATGCCTACATTAGTAGAGAAATAATACCATATGATAGCCTTTATACCATTACTTAGTGTTACTCAAGCTGCTGTAACAGTAACTTGTGCTGTAACTTTAGGTGAAATATTGAAGATTAATGGTAAGTCATCTCACAAAAATAGTTACAAAAGCTAAATACGGATTTATTTTGGAGAAATAGAGAAAGCGTAAAAAATTCAAACCCAGTGAACAGCTATTGCTTAGGTGATGAGGACTGCTCTCTATTTCTAGTTCAAATACAGCAAAATCCAAAATGCTTCAAAATCCAAAGCTTTTTTTTTTTTAGCTCCAACCTGATGCCACAAGTGGAATATTGTACATCTGATCTCATGACACATCATTGAACATATCATATACAGTTGCCTTAAGGCTACATGTATAAGGCGTATATGAAACATAAATGAATTTCATGTCTAGACCTGGGTTCCATCACAAAGATATCTCATTATGTGTACGTAGATATTCCAAAATCTGAAGTTCCAAACAATTCTGGTCCCAAACATTTTGGATGAGGGATACTCAACCTGTATGGGCTTAGATCATATCTAAAAGTTACTCAATTAGGCATGAAAAAGAATTATTTACCACTTATTTGTTAAAAATCTTAAACCGATATTTTAGCATTCCCAATTTCTATTTAGTCTCTTGGCCAAAGTCATGGTGAAAGAGACAGCTTTAAGAATGTGTAAAAGCCTTAATTCATAAACCTGTTGTAAGAATTAGCAAGATAAATTCAAATACTCTTAATTTTAGAAATGTTCTCTTTATTTTAAGGTCCTGTGGGAAAGACACTTTGCTTTGTAAAATGATATTTCTTTGGGGCCATTACCTTAACCTGTGTCTATTGCTTCATGAATTTTAACTTGTATAAGGTGGCTTGTTCTAAAAACCTAAGTGGGTAAATACAAGAAATGAATGGTAATAAAGCAGTTAGTATCATACCCTTCTTTATCCATGCTACATTTTTAATTTTTCTTAGTCTTATTTTTCTACTTTCAAAAAGATAATGTCTCATATAATAGGGATAGTTATAAAGCAACTTTTCATACTTTAAAATGGAAAATTACCAGCTAGGAATGCAGAATAAATGATGAGTTTTACTCTCACCATTTTTTGCCCATTGATAAAATGATAGATTTAGAGTAGGCAATGATCACCAGTCACTACCAAAACCATTAAGTAAAAGGCTGGTGGGGAACTTAATACTGAGTGGATCAGAGTGAATGATCTTTCACAAATGGAGAGACAACTAGACATTATGTGCCTTATGAATAATTTGCAGTAAGAAGTACACAACACTGACTACTAGGCGTTCCCACCCAGAACATTGCACCTGAATCCCATCAAGTCTCTAGCTCTAAATGCCAGTTTACAAGAAATACAGAGGATAAAGGAATAGCATGGGAATGCAATCAGCAAAATCCAGTAAGTGGGAAATGCCACAGGATAGGGGTAGATGGCAAGGAAAAAAGAAAAAAACAAGGACAAAAGCCTGAAGATTAACGAAGACTTGTATCAGCCAAATGATTGTGTTAACCTTACTTGGATTCTCATTTGAAAACCAGTTTTGAAACAGTAGGGGAAATTTGAACACTATTTCCTGACTTTAAGGAACTGTTTTAAATTATTTCATGTGTTACAATACTATTGGGGTTATGTTTTTAAAAAGTGTTACCTTTTAGAAATAAAGTATAAAAGTATTTGTAGCTAAAGTGATAAAATATCTGAGATTTGCTTTAAAAATAATCGGGGAAAATACGTGGGGAATGTAGATGAAGCAAGATTAGCCATATGTTAATCTTTATTGACATCATGGAGGTTCATTATACTTTTCTCAATACTTTTGAATATGTATGGAAGTTTTCACTGTAAAAGTTTTTTAAAAATCACATCTCAGGCCAGGCGCGGTGGCTCACGCCTGTAATCCCAGCACTTTGGGAGGCCGAGGTGGGCAGATCATGAAGTCAGTAGTTCGAGACCAGCCTGACCAACATGGTGAAACCCTGTTTGTAATAAAAATACAAAAATTAGTTGGGTGTGGTGGAGTGTGCCTCTAATCCCAGCTACTCAGGAGGCTGAGGCAGGAGAATTGCTTGAACCTGGGAGGTGGAAGTTGCAGTGAGCCAAGCAAATTTTTCATTCCTAGGGGCCCAAAGCAAGGACAACAAAACATTTGACTCTTCTAATAGGCCAATGCAGTTTGTTGGCCTCATAATTTCTTACATTTTTTTAAAAGCACTTTTAATAGAATATTTTAATAATTATTCCTTTCATACTTACTTTGGCAGAACTTTATTAAACATTATTTTCTAATGTCTATATTCCTTAACTAAAATTAAACTTAGATTTGTTTTTAAATACAGGTTTGTTGCATAAAATAATAATAAAACATATATTTTACCACTAGGATTAAGTTTGCAGCAGTAGAAAAATATTAAACCATGGTATACAAAAAAACTAGTCACTTAACCTTTCTCAAAACAGACGGTATAATAAATGTATAAAAAGGCAAGCTGTTATCAGCTAAAGGCTCACAAAGTGATTACACAGTGAAACTGAAACTTGCATCCTGTTGGGAACATACATTGGTTTAGTTGACTGGCATGAGGGAAAAGGCTGATTTAACAAATAGATAAATGTAAAAAAAAAAAAAAAAAGCCATTCCTATTCTTACATATCCCTTTCAGATTTAAAAGTTACCTAACAATTTTGATGTAGCTGTTTTAAATATAGTTGAAATAACTGACTAATTCGGCCTTTTTTTTTTGTACTGTGCTTTATTTTTATAGATATTTGGGCTTTGATTTATATTCTCATTATTGATGAGCTCACTGCCATTGTCTTCCTCCTAATTCTTGTTTAAAGAACTTGGGCTAGAAATTCTGTAGTCACCAACCTTAGCTGATAAGTATTTCTGCTATTGTTAGCTTAGTGTTCCATCTGCCCCCTTACTGATGCCATGGCTGTGATATCTCAGTTCGGGAAAACAGCTGCTTCATGAGATCTCTGGCCTTAACAGTTGTCCTAGTGAAAATGAGCAGGGGGGTTTCATTGCAAGGACAACTGGCATAAATGTATGAATGAATGCCAGGTTAGTAGCACGTTAGTCAAAAGAGGAATTGAGATCAAATTGAAAGAAAAGCTGAATATGATAGATGAAGTCTACAGAAAGTATCACACATACTGACTGAAAATATTTCTCTGCAGATGGAATCTGCCTGTGTTTCAATTCACGAAGCTCTGAAGTCTGTCATCGATTATCAGACTCATTTCCGATTAAGAGAAGCTCAAGGCCGAAGCCGAGCAGAGGATCTAAATACAAGAGTGGCCTATTGGTCAGTAGGAGAAGCCCTCATTCTTCTGGTGGTTAGCATAGGGCAGGTATTTCTTTTGAAAAGTTTTTTCTCAGATAAAAGAACCACCACAACTCGTGTTGGATCATAACTACGTTTTGAGAATTGATGCACCATTGCCACTGTAATATTGCTGTCCTCTAATTAATTTTAGGTACTGAAGAACTTAATATTGGCAACATTTTTAAAACCTTACTCATACACTTGTTGGGAGGGATGTACAATGCATATCCCCAAACTGTGGAAAGGACACCTTTTTTTATTTGTAAAGGTGGAAAAACTTTGGAACTCATTTTGGGCTATTCATGTTAAATATTCAACACCAATGATCTACTCTGTTCTGGGTTGTTTCTATCTACTCTTCGCACACTAAACCTTGGTATTTTGATTCCTTTTAACCATTTAAAACTACTTTCTTATAGGTAGTTGATATTTTAAAAACCTTAGATTTAATGTCACATATGTTAAAGAGGAAGAAAATTGCCTTTTAATTGTTAATAAGAAAACCAAATGTGATGAACTGTAGCCCAAGCCCTATTCTGCACTGTTCAATTTTATGGAGGAAAAAAAAGTCTACCATAGGAATGTTAATTAATATTGATACATCATGGTAAAATTTATTTCTCACTAGCTTAGAAAATGTCAGACTTTTGTTTTTGGGGTTTATGATTTATAACCAGCTATGCTATTTTTTCATAAAGGCATTTGTAGCACACACAAAACATATGTTTCAGTAGCATAAAAGAGTTTATACAGGCCTTAAATATCAGACTGTTTGTAACAGGTAGAAATATTACAGAATAATTTCAGACACTACAATGGGGGCAAATGAAATAGGAAAATTTTTAGTGAGTTACCTGTACTCATTACATTTTCAGTGCTTTTACAAAGAAAAAAGGTGATATGTTTAATTTTAACATTTTAATTGGCTGACTCTTGCCCTTACATGACTTTAATGTCTTTGTGAGTCATTCCCAGCTTAAATTAACAATTGTTAGTATTAGTATCACATAAGTGCCGTACATTTTATCCTCATGGGTGTGATGCACTGAAAAGTTAGTTGCTTTCCTTTTTTCTTTTTTCTTTTTTTCTTTTTTTTTTTTGTCTTGCATATTTTATTTCTGTAGTTTCTGGTTAGCTACCCTAAAGTGATTAAAAAATTTAGAATGCTATGTGTTTCCTATTTGGTAATCTTCATCGACTGTTCTTTATTTAATGAGTATTAAATACTGCATATTCTATAGACTATAGGGTTTACATTGTGTTTGCACCTCATAACTTGTATAGATTGAGCTGATTGAAATAAGATTTTGTTCCAAGTATTATCTGATAGAATACAAGATGATTCAAAATTATATAGATATTTAAAGCTTTTCTGCTGGTTTTTTTTTTTTTTAATTGCAACTGCTTTTCTGCCATACCTCTCTTCCCTACCCAAAAGTGATGAGTTCTGAACAAGACAAGACTGTCATATTGTAGAGACTTTGATATGTGATACCATGGAATACTGATTGGATAGCCATCCTAGTCACTTACCAATACTGACTAGAAGTTAACTCTTAATTCTAAGCTATCTTAAAATACATATATATACTTCTTGCATGGAAGAGCAAAACAAATTCAAGTTGTCATACTTGGTAATTTCAGATGCCGCAGTATAGCAAAGGGTGAACATGTTTTCAACCCTTTAATTTTTTAAGATATTTGAAGACCAACTAACTACTCCTTAATATTTATCAATGGATTAAGAAGTTTAAGATTTTGCAGATTTATCAATTTGGGTTTTTGTATTGAGGTTGTCTTGCGGCTTTATAAGTGTCCCTTTATATTTAAATTTGAAAGTTTTAAGCACTGATGTTAATGTGATTGATCAGCATGGGCATATGTAAAGTGTCCTTTTCTGGTTGCCTCTCTGTGCTATTGTGTTCAGATACTTATACCATAATTAAACAGTAAGGTATAGATCTTGCTGAGTTTGGCATAGATAGTGCACTCATTTAATCTGTGCCTCTCAAAACTTCAGAATATTAGAATATTACCACAAATAATTTTTGGTGAAACTATTGAGATATTAAAATTTTTGAAATCACTGCTGTTACCTGTTATAGAAAATAGTGTGGGCTTAGTCTAGTCTCTGTGTAACTGGTTACATTTTGATGGTTGTCTATACTCAACTGGATATGTATATGTAAATTAGAAAATACATACCTATCCAGACATAAATGTTAAGTAACCTTTTTTTCTTCCTCCAACTACATAATTTGTAGCTCATCATCTTTCCTTAATCCTTTCCTAACTTGTTGCAGCAGTTTGAACTTCCCAAATATTTATGTTTGGACATAATGGCTCAGAATACATATTTGAACATCATAGTTGTATATATTTTTAAAGTAGAATAAATAATGGAAAGCAACTTGATATACAAGTTTATACTAAAATTTCAACTGTGTGAAGATACATTTTAAGGTATTACTTTGCTAATAATCTACACATTCTTTTTTCTATTAAAGAAACGGTTTGTGGTTCACAGCTTTCATCCAAGCTTGGTGATAATCAACTTTGAAAATACAGTGGACTGAAAAGCAAATTTATTCTTTCAAAAATTTCATTTAAATCTCTGTACTATGCATTTTTGTTTCAGTTTGTAAATGTGTAACATTTGTAGTTAAATAGGACAAAGCAGGCCCTATGACTATTGTTTTCAAAAAATTAAATTAATATATAAATAATTCAGAGGGGTTTTTCATTTACTTTTGAAAAGAAACTTCTTTAACAGGATTGCACCTATCAGTTTCTTGTAGAATAAAAAAAAAATCTTTCAACAAACTGACTTCACTTGTTTCTGTCAGGATTTAAATCTTTCTATAGCTCCTTATAAACTTAAAGCCTGGAGTACAGTTCTGTAATGAGAGTGATTATTTATTTGGTATTTTATTAAAATATCTGAGGGACTGTCCAAGAAAGAAGGTGAAAGAGAAATACCACATCTGTACTGCCTAATTGGTAACCTTCTCTTTGCATTCCTTACTGAAAGTTTGTGTAGGTGAAAAGCAGTTAAATCATCAATTGCTCTAAAGAGGTCTTAATTTTTAAGTGAATTAACTTTAGGTTGTATAATACCCAGTTGTATCAATGTTTTTCTTAATAATGTAGTCAGAGGGGACAGTCTGGTTCCTGGGCACAATTCTCCAAAAACAACAGGGAAATAACTGTAAATATAGGTTAACATTTATTGAATGCCTACCTTGTGCTAGGTGCTGTGCTGAGTATTTGTATTGACACATTTAATCTTTGCAATGTTTCCATGAAATGTATTATTTCCATTTTACAGATGAGGAAACTGAGGCATAGAGGGGTTAAGAAATCTCATATCACACAGTAATTGGCACAGTTTGAATATGAACCATAGCAGTCTGGCCCCAGAGCCCTCTTTCTCAAGCACTATGCAATATTGCCTTACAAAAAACCAATTAAGGATAGTTCTCTGAAGGCTTAGCTATCTTGAATTCACTACAGCTCAGTAGCGGTTCAGTGCTTTGGCTTTGAAGTCACAGCCAAGTTCTAGTCATGGTTGTGTGACTTTGGATTTTATTAACTATATATTTCTGTTTTCCATCTGCTGCTAAGGTGATGCCATCTGGTATAATGAGAATGAAATGAGATGTTTATTAAACACTGAGGATCAGTGCCTAGCATATACAAGCATTTAGTAATTATATTTTTTATCATTAGTCTAATTCTGGTCTCTTGATCTTTCTTTAGTTCCTAAAGTCCTTACTATGGCTTCTATTCATGTGACTCTTACATGAACAATACATGACACAAATACAGTGTTTGAATGCCTGTCATGCACATGATGGTCTGCTAGAAGTTTCAAAAATGAATAAGACCAACTGGGCGCAGTGGCTCATGCCTGTAATCCCAGCACTGTTGGAGGTCCAGGTGGGCGGATCACCTGAGGTCAGGCGTTCAAGACCAGCCTGGCCAACATGGTGAAACCCTGTCTGTACTAAAAATACAAAAAGTAGTGGGGCATGGTGATGCATGCCTGTAATTCCAGCTACTCGGGAGGCTGAGGCAGGAGAATCACTTGAACCTGGGAGGCAGAGGTTGCAGTAAGCCAAGATTGCACCACTGCAGTCCAGCCTGGGCAACAGAGCGGGACTTGGTCTCAAAAAAAAAAAAAAAAAAAAAAATGAATAAGATAGTCTGATCTCCAGGAACATAACCTAGATGGTGTAGATAGGATAACTGTATGAGCAACTAATGTTACACAGGTAGTGAAGCAGAGTGGACTCTAAGGGTCTAAGGTATTTACAGGGTGCTAGAGGAAAAAGAGAATATATAGGTCAAAAGACTTATTTCTTAGGGAGTTTTACATCATCTCCCCACAGTGGAAGCCCTGGTTATGTGACTATGCCAGTAATTGAGTGGTTTAATCTCCAGTTTAGGGATATGGGTATTAACCAGTCCCTCTTGCTACAGATTAAAAGACATATTCTTTAATTTTGTTAACAATAAAGGTGATGTTTGATCTCCTGAGTAACTTCTCCATCTCAGGAGTTTCCAAATTCTGGAGGAAAATACAAGGATGTTATCCTATTTTTATCATTAAGAATCAGCTTCCTTCCTGAAATGTAGGTACAAAAGTGACACTGGTCTGGCATACGCTTTTTAGTGCTGGATGATTCCTAATGATCACTACTATCTTGAAAAGGCAACAGCATAAGAATTTGATTAATAATTGTTCAAAGAACAAAGTCTACCCAGAATTTCATCATTCTTTTTGGTGTATTTCAGTTATTTTTATAGATACAAAAAAAAATTTATTGTTTAAAGAAATTGGTATTGTACTTTCTATAACAAATTTTTACACTTTTACATTTGTGAAATCTATCATATAGAAGAGAGCATTTAGCGTGTACAATCTAATGAGAAATAAAGTTATAAAACAGATACTCATATATCCAATGCTCAGGTTAAGAAATGTAACATTGCCAATACCTTAGAAAAGCTCCTATGTATCCTTTCCTGGTCAGTTTCCTGAATCACCCCAAGAGAGAGAACCAATATTCTGCTTGTAATGCAAATAATCTTTTCTTTGTATTTTTACCAGTTAAGTATACTAGTTCTCACGCTTTTTAAAACATAATTTCTAAACCATCATAAACTGATACTTTCATAAATACAAAATCATGTACTTGAATGTATTGGCACTGTCAGATTACTATCAGCATTTCTAAATGTTTATGAATGTTTACTCACTTTATATGCTTACCTCTCCATCAGCCAATGACAGTTGATCAGTATGGGATCAATATGGGACCACACTTTGAGTAGTACTGATGTCTGCATTCCTTAAAAATAGTCGAAACAGGTAGAAGTAAACATTAATAAAATTTAATAAAGTATTAAATTCTATTTAATAAATAGAAATGTCACTTTTTTGTGACTTGCTGAACATTTAGTACCATCCATGATGATGCATATGACTATAGTTTTTGTTACTGTGTTTATTATTAATATTACTACTCTTGTGTATTTCTTCCGTGAAGGCATTTGGAGCATTCCACCTTTTTTTGCTATTTTGAACAAAGCCACTATGAACATCCTTGTATATATGTCAGGTTGTACATGTGTATGATCTCTTGAGAATACATCCAGCAGTGGAATTGGTGGGTCATAGGATATGTGTATCTTCAAATTTACTAGGTAATACCTAACTTTTCCAAAGTAATTATGTCCATCAGTGCTTTCACCAGCAGTATTAAAAGGTTCCGCATTTGGTATTGTTAGACTTTAAAACTTTGGAAAATCTAGGCTTGTAATGGTACCTCATTGTTGCTTAATTTGCATTTCCATGAGGTTATTTTTTTCTACAAATTTATCTAACATTTGGATTTCCCCTTTTTGCAAAATTGCTGTTTAAATCATTTGCCCATTTTTAACAGTTTTATTGACTTTTTTTGGTTAATAAAATTCCTTCATATACTGAGACTACTTAATCATTTGGTTATAACTATTTCCAATATCTTCTCACAGTTATTTACTTTCTGCTCCTAGTGAAATGTATCCATCTTCTTCTCTATTTTTGGTGTTTTTGTGTCTTATTTAAAAAATACTTCCCTCTCCTTAGGTCATGAATATCTTCTGTACTGTGTTCTAAAATATGTGTAGTTTTGTCTTCCACTCAAACTGAATTTTGTTTTGTGGGTGAGGGTAGGTATCCAGGTTCTTTTTTTTCCCCTTGCTTCTTGAAAAGTCATCTTTCTCTTTTTTTTTTTTTTTTTGAGACTGAGTCTGGCTCTGTCGCCCAGGCTGGAGTGCAGTGGCCGGATCTCAGCTCACTGCAAGCTCCGCCTCCCGGGTTCACACCATTCTCCTGCCTCAGCCTCCCGAGTAGCTGGGACTACAGGCGCCGCCACCTCGCCCGGCTAGTTTTTTTTTTTTGTATTTTTTAGTAGAGACGGGGTTTCACCATGTTCACCAGGATGGTCTCGATCTCCTGACCTCGTGATCCACCAGTCTCGGCCTCCCAAAGTGCTGGGATTACAGGCTTGAGCCACCGCGCCCGGCCGAAAAGTCATCTTTCTCAATTGGTTGAACATGCCATTTCTGTCATCTATGAAATGTTCATATTTACATGAATCTATTTCTGGGCTCTCTTTTATTCCATTGATCAATTTGCCCATATATCAGTAACACACTGTCTTAATTACTAAAGCTTTTAAAAGTCTTGATATTTGGTAAAATAAGTCTTTTTATACCTTGTTCTTCAAGATTTTGGTTGTGATCATTTCTTTGCACTTTTATACAAATTTTAGAATTTCAACAAAACAAAATTGTTAGGATTTTGATTGGGATTGTATTTTATCTGTGAACAAATTCTTTACAATAGTACATTTTTTGGTGAGTTAATGTTGTCTTTCCATTGTATCTTTGAATAAAGTCTTATAATTTTCTTCATAGAAATACTGTATACATATATTTTGTTAATCTTACTTTCTTGTATCTTTATGTTTTTGATGCTGTCATCATAAATGATATCTTTTAAGTTTTTAATTTTTTGTTGGTTTGTGGGAATACTTTTTAAATTGATTTTTCTATTCAGCAACCTTGCCTACTACTAACTCCATTCTACAAGTCTTAATATCTAGCATTTTAGTTATTCATTAACTGCAAAGTTTTTTTTTTCATTATCACTACTTCTCTTTGATCCATAGATATTATTTGGAACTATAATTTCCAAACATGAATATTTAAGTTTTCCTTTATTGTTGATTTTTTAACATAATTGAATTGTGATCAGAGGATATATTCTCTATATGATTTAAATTCTTTGAAATGTGTTAATGGTTGCTTTATGGCGTAAGTGGCTGGTTTTTATAAATTTTAGGGTGCTTGAAAAGAAGGTTCTACAGTTATTTATGTTCATTAATCATTTTAGTCGTGTTCATTAATCATTTTTCAAGTCTTCAGTATCCTTAGTGGTGATTTTTTTGTTTTTGGTATATGTCTCTCGATTACTAAGATAATTGTTAAAATCTAGCTAGCATGATTTTAGATGTGTCTGTGTGATTCTTTCAGTTTCTCCCTTTTTCTATTTTGGGGACATACTGGGATACAAATGTACAATTGTATTTTCCAGGTTAATTGAAAGAAGCTTTATTATTACAAAATTATCTTTATTTCCACTAATAAATTTTGCCTTAAAATTAATTTTATTTGATATTAATGTAGCTATACGAGCTTTCGTTTGACTATCACTTGTGTAGTATATCATTTTCCACAGTTTTACTTTCAGCCTTTATATATATTTATTTTTTAGAGGTGCCTCTTATTTATATCATATTGCTGTTACTATTACTATGTGTCCTATCTGTCCTGTGTTTCTTTTTCTCTACTTTTTTTTTGACTGTTGTTGTTGTTGTTGTTACTCCTTTTTTTCCTCTAGCTATTAGATCGGAAGTTGTGTATATTTCTGTTCATGGTTATTCTAGAAATTTCATTATGCATCTCTGACTTACCAAAGCCTAAACTTGCCCAGACTTCTGGGCAGTACAGTAGCCTTAGAACACGTTAACTCCATTTACTGTCCTCCCAGCTTATATACTGTGGTTGTCACATATGTTGTATCTCTTTAAATGTAAGTCATTACTTTGTTTTATATAGCTAATATTGACTTAGATTTACCCACAAATTTACCACCTTTCTTACTCTCCATTCCTTGCTGTGTCTTTGAGCTTTCATCTGGAGTAATTTTTCTTTTGCCTGAGTATACGTTTAGAATTTACTTTAGTGCAGTTCACCTGGTGGCACATTTACTTTGTTCTTGTTTTTTGAAATGTCGTTATTTTGCCTTCTTTTTGAAGGACTTCCCCCTGCCCCCCACTTGACAGAATTCTAAATGGATGGTTATCTGGACAGGTAAAGATAACTTTCTGTTGTATTCTGACTTCCATTGTTACTGGGAAGAAGTCACCTGTCAGTCTGTTGCTCCATTGAGACTAATCCATTTTTTTTCCTCTGGTTGCTTTCAGGATTTTCTCTTTGTAATTATTATTATTATTATTTTTTTTTTTTTGGAGTTTCATTATGTTGTATATAAGGGGATTTCATTGTATTTTCCCACTTGGGCTTTGTTTGGCATCTTGGATCTGTGGGTTGATACGTCAGTTCTGGAAAATTCTCAACCATCATTGATTTGTTCAAATTTTGTTTAGAATCTTACATCTGTATTCATGAGAGATGTTGGTCTGTGGTTTTCTGTTTTTGTAATGTCTTTTGTCTGATTAGTATGATACTAATGCTGGCTTAATAGAATGATTTCACAAGTATTCCTTCCTCTTGAATTTTTTTGAAGAGTATGTGTAGGATTGGTATTATTTCTTCCTTAAATGTTTTGGTAGAGCTCACTTTACCATTGAAATCACCTGGACATGAAGTTTTCTTTGTGGGAACATTTTTCACTATACCTTTAATTTCTTTGATAGATGTAGGGCTTTTAAAATAAAATGTTTTATCTTGACTGAGTTTGTCTTTTAAGGATTTTTTCCATTTCATCTAAATTGTTGAAGTTGCTGGCATAAAGTTGTTCATAATCTTTCCTTAGTAACCTTTTAATAACTGGTATGTCGTGTTACCTCTCTAATTTCTAATATTGGTAATTTGCATCTGGTCTCTTTTTTCTTGACTTACCTGGCTAGAAGTTTATTGATTTTGAAATCTTAGTAAACCATCTTTTGGTTTTATTTCTGGGGGAATAAAGTACCATAATCAAGCTTAGTAATCCTTTTTCTTACCTTCCTCCAGGATTTTGACTAGATGGGATTCTTTGTCTAATGAAGTGACCTAAACCTTCATTTCTACAGAATGGAGCCGTTGATAGGCCTGTCTTGTTGCAGTTTTCCACTGACTAGGACTGTTAGCACTAAGGGGCATTCCGGTGAATTTCCTAGTTTCCAGATATAGCCTTCTTGTTTCCATTGTATAACAGAAACACAGTTTTCCTCTGATAACTGGAATTAGCTATGCTGGCCAGTCCATTGAGCTGCTTTTCTGTTAGTTTAATGGCATGAGGAACCTCAAAAGACCAGGGCCAGTCTCAGCTCCTAAATCATCAAAACGTGATTCTTTTTCCTGAAGGAAGTGTTCTACTCTTAGACTCTAGAATTTCTAAACCCACCAAGCCCAACATTTTGGGAATGGGAAGCAAAAATTATTCATGTAGATTCTTAGGTATGCTATTGAACAGAAACACTCCTTCTACCCTTTGGCTCTGAGACCTGTGCATCCTGGTAGTGGGGAGACCACTCCATATACTGACTGCATATTAAATTAATATACCACATTCTATGGGATAGCACCCTACCTTTTCATGATGTTGCCTCCCAGATACCTCTGTAACTGAGCTCTCATTTTGCCACTCAACCATTCTATCAAGCTAGCTACTTCTAGGAGATAAATCATGTGTTAAAACCATTGAATTCACTTCCATTGTCATTAACTGCGTACCTGGTTGGAAGAAATGTTTTTGGGTTTCCTATGCAATGGATAAAACCCTCAGAAATGTGAAGAATATTAGTGCCAGTGGAAACACTGCAGGCAGAGAATGCAAATTCATACCTTGAATGTGAATTATCTTTGTGTGAAGACAAAGTGCTACCTATTTCTTATGGAAATTGCCCAGTGTAACCATGTTACCGGGTTGCCAGCAAGTCTCATTGAGAATAATGCCATATTAGGAACCCAGCCTTGGAAATATAGTCACACTCCACATTGTTGCCAGGTTGGACACTCAGCAATGATAGTAGCCAAATAGTGTAGGTGAGGAGAAGACCATACTATTGAACCTCCATCATTGCTTTGATGGCCGCTTGGTACGTGGGCCCATTAACCAAGCCCTGGATTGGCTGGAGAAAGACTGACATCTACCAGACAATTCATCTTGTTCCCCTTATTACTGAAAATCTTCTCCACCTGATGTATCCTATTAGGCACTTATGTGGGACATGAATATCTTCACATGCCCTCACCACTCCAAGAGGGTTATCTGTAAGCCTCACTGACAGATCTTTTACAAATTTTCCATTTTGTTCTTTCCAATAACCTAAAAGCTGGATGATCCATTAGACACTGCCTATAAGTCAGTATATTTATCAGTTTGTCATGTCGTCCCCGCCTTTTTTGAATGTGAATAACCAGGTATGTAGCTAGCATTTGCCCACTAGGAAGATTCCCTGTCCCCATTACCATAGATCTGAAATTGTCTCACTTCTTTACATACCTGTCCGTCTCCCAGATTAGACTATAAAATCTCCATGAGAACTAGGACTGTGTCTCCTGTTCACACAATATCCCTAATGCCTAGCACATAGAATGTGCTCTAACCATATGTGGCAAGAGTGATTGATGCATTTTCTTGAACATTTGGAGAGAAAATGTTAAGCAATTAAACTTGTAACCAGTTTAAGTTTTTTTTTAGTACATGTGACTGTATTATGAAGAACAATGCAAAATTTGGAGCAATTTAAAAAGATGAAACAGTTCAAGTAAATTTGCCCATGATACTAGTGACTTCAGGCTCTTTTATGTATGCAACCTAAGTGATGAATAGGTAAGTATGCGTTTATGGAATCTCATTGGTGGTATTTCAGTGGAAAGATTTGAAAAGCTCTGATTTTGAAGGGTTGCCAGAGAAAGAGGAACAGGCAGAGGAAACTGAAAGAAGAATTTTAACAAGCAGGATGAGCATAAAGGCAAAGTGGGGTTGTCAACATCAAGGAAACAGTATTGGGAGACAATGGTCAACTCTGTCAATCGCCAAAGAGAGACTCCCAGGAAAAATGAGGGCAACAAAAGATCAATGGATTTAGGAGGCCACTGCTTACCCAGAGTTTAGGTAGAATTGTTGGGAGGTGCAGTGGTTGGAGAATCAACTGCATGAATAATGAATTGTGTTGACACGGTACATAATACGGTATTTCTGACTACATTGTGGCATTTCACCAAGTAATTACTACCTGAAGTGCCTACCTTCAGTAAGCCATCCTGTTGTTGGATGGGGAAAGAGAAGGAGGAAATAACTCTTAGCTTTACCTGTACTGTGCTGAGACCCAGGTATGAACCTTCACTCCCAATTTGCTATCCATGTTCTCATCCGATGTTCAGTAACTGGGTTCTCCTTTGGCAGAGTAGGTATTGCCTGAGAATTAAAAGGGGAGGGGAGATTTCTGAACTGGAGCTCTTAGGTTATGACCAGGATTGGGTGCCTGAGGAAGCAATGGAGAGCTTTATAAGGCTTCTTATGCTTCATTTACCTAATTGCTTTTTTTTTCTCTCCTGATATTCAGTGGAGTTCCAATCTGTTCTGTTGTGGAGAACGAACCTGAGAAAAGGGATCTTTCTCAGGGTAGTTTTTGGGGGCAGGGGCGGTTGTGCTGCACACCCTAGTCAGGGGTATGGTTGGCTGCAGGGGGGTGAGACAGCCGCAAAGGGACAGGAAATGTCGAGACTATCTTAGGGAACCAGGAGAGTCCCTGTACCTCTGAAGGGTCTAGGGTTTGGTCTGTAAGGAGCAAACATGGTGGAATTCCTTTCTAGATTTTTCTGGGCCTCGAAGTCTGGTTTTTGCGGTACATGCCAAAAAAGAAAGGGCAGGGAGAGTCCACTAGCCTCGGTGACAGTTCCCCATTGTGGTTTCCCCTCCTCCACCCTTCTTTGCGAGCTCCTTCCTTCTGCCGAGAGTTATCCCGCCACATTAACCCCTGACTCGCAGCTGGACCGCCCCGGCCCGGAGCGCCGCAGCCCGGCCGGCCGGGAGTGGCCCTTCGGGAGCAGCAGGGCGGGCGTCAACAGCAGTCAGGCCTGGCGTGAGGCGACCTCCAAGGGCTGAGGCAGCGCGTCTCCAAAGGCGTGGGGTCTCTGCTGCCCGCGACCCACACGCGTCCCGACTCCGCAAGCGCAGTGGGGAGCAGGCTGCTGTGGTCTCGAGGACTGGGTTGCGGCCCGCAGTGTAGGGGGCGGCCCCAGCCTCTCGACGCCCGGGGCAAGACGCCCACCGCCTGGGGCGCTCTCTGGGCCAGAAAGGAAGACAGAAAAGCCACGGGCTAACCGTGGCGGCGCTCGCCTGCAGGCAAGTACCGGGCACGCTGGCGGGGGCCGCTGCCGAGGGCGCGGGGTGGGCTGGGGGCCAGGCCGCCAGGGGCGCGGGGTGGACTGGGGGCCAGGCCGCCTGCGCTACCTCCCCAGCCCACCCTACCGGACGGCGCGGGTGCTGGCGCTGCTGTCCCCAGTGGGGGCGGGCGAGCAGGCAGGCCTTTCCGTCTCTTGGGTTACTCTGAAGGGAAAATCCGCACTGCTGTCTGCCTTTTTGTTTCATTTTGACTAGAAAACCCATTTTCGAAAATACACCTCAGAACCATAAGCAAATAGCCCAGAGTCTTAAATGCTCTAAAGGCTCTGGATGAGCCCCTGCCAGGCACACTGAACCAGTGCTGGAGGTTTTGGCGTGGGTTTTTCCTACTTGGCTTTTTGTCCAAAGCTAATTTGGATAAAAATAGTTTGACTGGCAGCTGTGAGCTATTTTTCAGTATATTAGGACCTCACCAGCTTTCCATGGTAGTAAACTTTTTTTAAAAAAAGAAAGTCTTTTAAAATATTCTCACATTATTTTTTTAATTTATCCTTTTAATTTTGGAAAGCAAGGGTGAGAAAGGCTATATGATCTGGAGGTAAAAATACACCACTGTATAGAGTTGAAGTGTTATCCCCTGAACCCGCATTGCACGTCTACAAAGGAGAAGAACTTGTCCTTCTCCAAGTGTTTAGTATTCCTTAGATTAGTGTTTTTCAAACAAGCCTGATGGGAAGACGCATTTGGGACTTTTGTTTAAAATGCATCCCCCCTACCTCTGAAAGTTTAATTTGGTAAGCTTGATTTCCAGAATCTGTATTTCTATTTTTTTATTATTTAATTTCATTTTATGTTCTGAGATACTTGTGCAGGTTTGTTACATAGATAAACGTGTGCCATGGTGGTTTGCTGCACCTATTAGCCCATCAATCCTTACATTTTAATATTTTGAAGTAGTAGGTTGGTTATCAATGGAGTTAAGCCACTCCATTTATATTTCATTCAAGTCAGAAAATAGATAAGCAGATATAGGATACTGACACCTGCATTTGAAGCAAAGTAAATGTGACATGTACATCTTACTGTATGGAACTTGAAGTACAAACCATGTTTACACTGTTGAATCATGCACACCTATCTATCTGTTGAGTCATTTGTTCCTTATGATATTCTTAAAATGTATTCATTTAACAAATATCTGCTGTTAAATCTTTTGTCTTTAATCCCCCTAGACCACACATCCCATTCTAGGTCCCACTCCACTACTTTGCTTCTTTTTATAACAAACAAACAAAAATCGTCTTTGAAAGATTTACCTCTAAGTCTCTATTTTCATTTCCCCTGTTTCTTCCTACCCCCTCTCATCTGAGGCTTTTTGTCCCCATTACCCCCTACATGGACCTGACATTGCCAATGGCTGTCTTGTGAAATCCCGTATCTGTGCACAGTTCTTATCTTTCCTGACCCCTCAGTAGCATTTGATCACTCCCTCCTCCTTAATATTCTTTCTTCTTCACTAATGTTCTGCACTAATATTCTTTTTTCTTCACTTGGCTTCCAGGTCACCACATTCTCCTGCATTTCATTCTGCTTCTTTGTGTCTCCAGGCTTCCCCACCACTAAATCTTAGTATGCCACAAAATTCATTTCTTGGCCATATTTTTCTAGCCATACTTTCTCCCAGGACAATTTCTATCCCAAGGCATATTCCTTGGCTATAAATAACATCTATCAGCTAATGACTTCCAAAATTTTATTTCTAGCTTTACTGTTCTTTTGAGCTCCAGATGTGTATGTCCAGCTGGTTACTCAGCATTTCCATTTGGAAGTCTGATAGGCATTTAAATTTAGTATGGACAGACAGAACTACTGATGCCACACTCACCAAGTTCTCCCTCTGTCTCCCCTCAGCTCCCTCCCCTTATCTCAATAAACAGCCTCAGTTACTGCCATTCAAGTAGGCCGGAATTCTAGGAAATTACTCTTGACTTCTCTTTTTAGGTCAGACCCCGCATCCAAGCATCCAGCAAATTCTGTTCATTCTATCTTGAAACAAAAGATCCAAATCTGCCCACCTCTCCGCCTCTCTGTAAGCTAAGCCACAGTCCTACCTACATGATTGGGAAGTCTCTGCCTCTGCCCTTCCTCCTCTATAGTCTTTTCCAAACAGCAGTGATTTTTGTCATACATACTCAGAACTTTCATTTCCCTTCAAAACCTTCTCATCAGAATCACAAACAACAACAACAACAAAAAACAAACAAAACACATACACACACACACACACACACACAGACTTACAATGGCTTTAAAGCCCTGTATGATCTAGTCCCTGACTACTTCTCTGAACTTATCTTCTGATTTCCCTCTCACCCACTCCACTGTAGTAACACTGATTGTGCTGCTGTTGCCTTTGCCTGCAGCAGGTCTCTGCTAGACCATTGCACACTGTACTCCCTCACTTCTCTGTTAGCATGCTGCCTCAAAGGTTACTGTGCTATTGCAGCAAGATCTGTTTTGCTGCTGGACTTGTGCGGTAGGTTGTTATTAAATACTGAATGCTACTCTCTAGTATTCCATGAAGCTTATGGCACCTTTAAAACATTGTTGGTTGCTTGAGTTCTCTAATATTAAAAATGCACAACTATTTTTCTTTTTAGCCTAATTTTGATAAGATAGACAGTTTGCCTTTAAATTCTGTGTTTTTATAAAATCTCTTCCCGATTTGGAGATTTGCCCTTTAACATCGGTTTTCATTTTTAGATACAGAAAATGGAAGAAAAATATCCAGTTCACTAAAAGGGATATTTGGTGGGGGCCAGTTACCCCCTCACCCCCACCAATAGGGGCAATGGGAAATAGGAAGCAATAATCTAACATTTGGAGACTCTTTGAATGGTACCAGCAACAGGTAGTTTATGGGAAGAAGAAAAATAAAGACTCTTGTTCAGAGAAGAATATACAAGTTTCTAAGTTCTGCAGTGACTAAGCCAATATCAGTTGTCAAGATTTTATAAGATATTATATACATTCAACTCTTTTTTTTTTTTTTTTTTTTTTTTTGAGACAAGGTCTTGCTGTGTTGCCCAGGCAGGCCTTAAACTCATGGGCTCAAGCAATCTTCCCACCTCAACCTTCCAAATAGCTGGGACTAGAGGCACATACCACTGCACCTGGCTCCAGTTCTCCCTTGAGGACTATGTAGAAATGAAAAACAATATTTTCATCTTTATGAAGAGGTGTAGCAACTAAAAGATTGTTTAATTTATAATCCTTATTTCTCATTTTAATCCCTAGGAACTGGTTCTGTTATCAGTAGCACAGGTACTATTGCCCCTTCTTTTAAAGGAAAAGAAGAAAATTCCTTCTCATTTTAGAATTAGGATTTAAGATGCTTAAATAAATATTTCCAATATGAGATTAAATAAAATAAGTAGATTTGGAATATGGAACAAAGAGAAGAGTAGGAGGGTTAAGTGGAAGCTAGGAGTGAAGTTACTAATAGCATCAAAACACCTGCCATAAGCTTCTGTCTGTTGGCCAGAGCGCTCATTAATCTGGAGCTTCCTAGCAACTGAGTGAAGAGATAGGGTCCACAAGATGAAAAAGCAGTGCCCAGGTAAAGATCAGATAGAAGCATTTTTTAAACATTGACTTGCTCAAGGACCTGTTTTAGATACTATGAAGATGAATGTTCTGTCTTCTGGTACTTAAGAAGAGTATGGGAGAAGCCCTATTTGGTTTAGAGTTAGCAAACCCAAGCTCTTGGAATATTTGCATATGAATAAAAAACAGATGAAATAGAGCTACACCTGGAGATAGGCTAAACTCATTTGGAATGTACAGATAGAGCTTGTAAGGAAGACACTTACCAAAGGCGCTGGAAAAGATATATATGTATAAGGAAGTTACTATTTAGATGGAAATCAGATCGACATAATTGACATAATTGTTGACAATTACTGACATAATTGATATTTATAAAAATATAAAGCCTAGAAAATGAATTTTTATTTACTAAAAAACTATTTTTTCAGATTGAATGATCATCGTTTGAAAAAGTGAACATGTATGTGTCTATATATGTACATGTGAAGAACATATGTGAGTTCTTCACATATACATACATGAAAGAATACATATATACACACACATTTATATATTCTTATGCTTATACCATTCACAGAGTATCAATGTTACTTTTTTGGTATTCACTTGGCCCATGAACAACACGGGTTTGTATTATGTGGGTCCCCTCATATGTAGATTTTCTCGAACAAAACATGGATCAAAAATGCAGTATTCCAGGATTCAAAAGCCACACATATGGAGAAGTTACTTTTCGTATAGGCAGGCTGTGCAGGCTGACTGTGAGACTTGAGTATTCTTGGATTTTGGTATATTCAGGGGTCCTGGAACTCCTAGAATCAGTCTTCTCTAACCTTAAGTATGCCAAGAGATGACTGTA